ATATATATTGATCTCGAATATGAAAGTGTTAAAATTATTGATACCAAAATTGAATCGTATTGACTTAGTTAGAAATACGTAGATAAATATATAAGTAGTCATATGATTTTAAATATGTAAATGCGTGTCTGTCTTCTTTGACAATTTTAGTATTACCCATATGGCAAATATATCAGCTGACAGTAAATTACTCTACCTGTTGTGTAACGAATCTCATTTACTATAGATAATGTGTTCTAGTATACAATTATTTATTACACGCAATGATTAATTACGTGACGATATATTTTGATGATTTTGTATTTTTATTTTCTTTTTTTTTTTTTTTCTTTTTTCTTTTTAATTTAGATTAATAAAATATGATTTATATAGATGATGATCTCTTTACGAAAATTTAGGATAGATACGAGTATACTAAAATAAGAACAACAACAAAATATTCATACGAATATATTATTATGACCGATATGACCTTTCAAATTATATACACATTTTTATCTTTCGATAATTCTTGTCGCTTCTTCGTTTTTACCGGGTTTTCTTTTTTTTCATTATCTACAAGTAATGCTTTTTATCACATGCACGACTTTTTAATCTGATCTAAAAATACCACCACTAGACGAAGTTCTAAAAAAATGAAGATTACTTTTCCTTCAAATAATACTCGACGCAGATTACTCTCTCTCAAGTGTGTAACAGATATTTCTGTCAGTTTATTATATGCTCTTGGTGATAATACCACGTATGGAAATTTAATAATACTATTGAAAGATGTATCATATGTAATTTATGGTGTAGAACAACGATGGTGTACAAACACATTTTAGTCACATTTAGCGAAATAGTTTTTAAATAAGAAATTCTTTTGTAAACGAAACGTTTGTGGGATACCAATTAATTGACCAGTACGGTCACCTGATCTAAATCCATTGGATTTTTATTCGTGCACAGGCACATCAAATCTTTAATTTACAATGCACCAGTAAATGATATTGAAGAACTGCGATAACATATTCAAAAATGTTGTCTGCAAATTAAAACAACATCTGATATTTTTGAACGAGTGAGTGGCCAGTTCGAAGAGATTTTATGAAAATTATTAAATAATAGGTTTTACATATAAAAATAGTTATAATTCAAGAACAAGGTCATATTTTTGTTCTTATTTTAGCGTATTGAATCTATGCGTATATTATTGTAAACAACCTGTATATGTTTATGTATTTCTTCCTAAGAATTAATTGTTTACGATGTTTTTATATTACAGAATAAATTGGGCTTACCCGTTATCAGTGTTAATAAATTTCATCATACGCCTGATGGAAGAGCTGCTAAAGTATCGGATGCAGTATCTAAACAATATCCTCTGGTGGATCATGAGTACGATGCAGTTGTTGTTGGTGCAGGTGGTGCGGGGTTACGTGCAGCTTATGGATTGGTGGCAGAAGGTTTTAAAACTGCAGTCGTTACCAAATTATTTCCGACTAGATCACATACCGTAGCTGCCCAAGGTGGTATTAATGCTGCTTTGGGTAATATGGAAGAAGACAATTGGCAATGGCATATGTATGATACTGTCAAAGGATCTGATTGGCTTGGAGATCAGGATGCGATACATTATATGACACGGGAAGCTCCTAAGGCGGTCATTGAATTAGAAAATTGTGGTATGCCGTTCAGTCGGACTTCTGATGGTAAGTTGTTACTAATTATCGAGTATAAAAACTCGTCATACTGAATATTACACTAGAAAAGTTTTATTTCTTCTATGTTGATGTGAAAAAATTACATAATAAATCTGTAAAAATAGTTAATCGAACACGCATAAAATGTATGAAAATATTTTCAATACTATTTGTTTGTATTTCCAGGAAAAATCTACCAGCGTGCTTTCGGAGGTCAATCATTAAAATTTGGTAAAGGAGGTCAAGCTCACAGATGTTGTTGCGTCGCTGATAGAACAGGACATTCTCTGTTGCATACGCTCTATGGACAATCTTTGAGTTACGATTGCAATTATTTCGTCGAATACTTTGCATTGGATTTACTTATGGAAGACGGAGAATGCAGAGGGGTCATTGCACTTTGTCTAGAGGATGGTACGCTTCATCGATTCCATGCTAAAAATACAGTACTAGCAACAGGGGGTTATGGACGTGCGTATTTCTCTTGTACGTCGGCACACACATGTACAGGAGATGGTACAGCAATGGTATCAAGAGCTAACTTACCTAATCAGGATTTGGAATTCGTACAATTCCATCCAACAGGTATCGATTAAAAAATGAAATATTATCTAACGTTATCTTTTTTCACACTAGCAAACGAATTTATCTTTGAATAAAATCTATAATCGTATCTCTACGTTTCTCAGGAATTTATGGCGCGGGTTGTTTAATAACGGAAGGTAGTCGCGGAGAAGGTGGTTATTTAGTGAACAGCGAAGGTGAAAGGTTTATGGAACGTTACGCACCAGTTGCTAAAGATTTAGCTTCAAGAGACGTAGTCTCGAGGTCAATGACCATAGAAATACGCGAGGGAAGGTAAATGAAACTAACGCGACATTGAAAAGATTTATTTCAATGGCGATTACATTATGAAAATGATTAATTAATATTTTATTTCTTGTAGAGGCGTTGGACCCGATAAAGATCACATTTATTTGCAATTACATCATTTACCACCTGAACAATTGGCTGCTAGATTGCCTGGCATATCTGAAACCGCTATGATATTCGCTGGAGTAGATGTAACACGAGAACCGATACCTGTTATACCGACTGTACACTATAATATGGGTATACAAATCATTCCAAATCATAATTTTTAATCAACAATGATTGGATCAAATTTGAAATGATAATATAAATGAAATTTGATACAGGCGGTGTACCAACCAATTACAAAGGTCAAGTGTTAACTAGACATAACAACGAGGATAAAGTTGTACCTGGATTATATGCATGTGGTGAAGCAGCATGTGCCTCGGTTCACGGAGCTAATCGACTTGGTGCAAATTCTTTACTCGATCTCGTTGTATTTGGTCGAGCTTGCGCTAAGACAATTTCACAAGAAAATAAACCTGGCGAGACTGTAGGACCTTTGAGAGCAGTTAGTATCTTATCTAAACAAAATATCGTTTCTTTTAAGTTCAATGAATATCCTTGGATTTTGTTCTCTCATACGTTTTTTAAATTGAAATCTTCATTTTAGAATGCCGGTGAAGAAACAGTTGCAAATTTGGATTGGATTAGAAATGCTAATGGTAGCGTTCCCACTGCTGAATTAAGACTGAACATGCAAAAAACTATGCAAACACATGCTGCAGTATTCAGGGAAGCTCAAACTTTGCAAGAAGGATGTCAAAAGATGTCGGGAATTTATAAGAAGATGGACGATTTGAAATTATCCGACAGATCGCTCATATGGAATTCTGATTTGGTGGAAACATTAGAATTACAGAATTTAATGATAAATGCTATGCAAACGATAGTAAGTGCAGAAAATAGAAAAGAAAGTCGAGGAGCTCACGCTCGTGAAGATTTCCGAGATAGAATCGACGAATACGATTATAGTAAACCATTAGATAATCAACAACCTAAATCATTAGATCAACATTGGAGAAAACATACTCTAACGACTATTAATCCTAGAACAGGAGAAGTATCTATTACGTATAGGCCAGTAATTGATAACACGCTTAACGCACAGGAATGCGCAACAGTCCCACCAGCAATTCGTTCCTATTAGATAACTACTAATCATTTTTAATTTAACATCCACAAATTCACTTTATCATTTGAACAACAAAAACAAAAACAAAAAATACAAAAAAATATCACATGTCACGTATGAAAAGAAAATTACACCGTTCATTTTATCCTTAGTTAAAAGTCCCATCGTTGTGTGTTTTAATTGGGATTAAGAAAACAATCTTAAATAATATATAATTTTCATTTCCCTCTTTACTTACACACACAAAAGAGAGAAGGAATTAATTTATTACACTATAAAAAAAAGTTATAATAATTAATAGAGTTGCACCAAAGTGAATTCTTGTCAATGCTTACGCGCTTAGCGAGTGAGATTAGTTATCCTTGTAGGATGTTGGTGCTGATATTTCATTGTTTCAAAATGATTAACTGTTTGATCTCCTAAGAAATTCTGTTTTATGTTTATTTAAAGTAATTATAGAAAAATATGATAAAAAGTGAACAACGAGCAAATGAAGAAAAGATCAAGAGAAATAGGAGCCTTTTAAGGAGCTTGTTCTTCGTCATCAATAAAGTGAATATTGTTTATAACAATTAATATCACGTGAAGAAGTACCTGTTGTATCGCGCTACTGCAAAATCGTATATATTTATTACATCAAATATTGTATGTCATCCCTTTTGAAAAATTAATAGCTTTAATATATATAATATATATAAGAATATAAGTTATTAGA